ACCCTAGAGGATCATCTTTTGGCTGTACTCATGAAACTCAGATTTGGACTCACCAACAAGCATATTGCATTCAGATTTAATGTTAACGAATGTGACATCTCTAAAATCTTAAGAAGTTGGCTGCCTATTATGTCTCAGATTTTGAAACCTTTAATCAAGTGGCCAAGTAAGCATGCTATTTTAAAGAATATGCCAAAATGTTTCAAACCTAAATATCAGCGTTGCAGGTGCATTATTGACTGCACAGAAATTTTAATTAACAGACCAACAAATTTAACAGCCAGAGCCCAAACATATTCAAATTATAAGAGCCATAACACGGTTAAGTATTTGGTTGGCATGTCACCTGCAGGAGCAATTACATTTCTGTCTGCAGGTTGGGGTGGGCGTGTTTCTGATAAACAACTTACAGCCGAGTCTGGATTTTATGACCTTCTACAAGTAAATGATGAGATACTAGCAGATCGTGGTTTTACCATTAGAGATGAGCTTGCCTTGCGTGGTGCTACCCTGAGGATCCCTCACTTTACCAAAGGTAAAAAGCAGTTGTCTGCTCAAGAGGTGGAAACATCGAGGCGTTTGTCCAATGTTAGAATACACATTGAAAGAATAATAGGGAGATGGAAAACTTTCCGAATTCTTACTACTGTTATTCCTTTATCACAGGCGGACCTGTTAGATTACATTGTAATTGTTTGTGCAGCATTGACAAACATTTGCAAATGCATTGTCCCTAGAAAATAAATTAAAAGCCCTTAATTGAATTGTGCCAAAATTAAGACATCTATGAATTGAGGTTTAAATGTCATTGAATATTATTTTTTGAAAAAAATTATTGCCTAAGTATTTTCACTGCATAAGCTCATTGAACATTCAAAAGCTGTGGTTTAAAACATTTTGCAGCAGTTTTGGTTCAAAATGTGTGTTGTATCCAGTTTGCTTTTGAATATTGAGCTTTTTCCTCATTCCTCTGTTTTATGATATATTTCAAAATCTTAAATGAAATATGCAGATATTTTGCTTTGTGTTTTGCCATTGAAAAGAAAACAATTCAATCAGCTGATACCTGTGTAAACCCTGTGTAAATATTAATAAAGTATTCAAGAGTCAAGGAAACATTGAAATATATTTATTCTTGTGCATGTAACCAATAATAAAAATAACAATATTAAACAATCTTGTCATAAGATGCACACTGAGAACCTTAGTGCATACTTTGAATGGTAAGCACAGGTACAGTTACAACTCTATGTTTCAGAGTGCATTTTTTCTAGTTTTTCTGTTTTTTGCGCTGATCACAATACCATTCTCTAGCCTTTCTTTTTACTTTTGCACATTCGTAATGGAAATGCCTATTGCACTTTGCACAGGTGGGAATGAATGTCCGGCCACTGAATTTTGGGCCATTTTTTCTCGTCATTTATCCACTCACCGGCATGTAACGCTTATGGGTCATTAAGACGTATTCCATTAACTAGTGTTAATTTAGCAGCATAACTTATTTTATCACTAGGTGATAAACTGTTGTAGAAAGCTGACAACATCGCTAGTTAGCAGATCGCAACTGCTAAATAACCGCGTATAATCACAACATTCGACCAGACGCTTTAAAGGACCCGGCACTTTTTGCAGTCAAGATGCGCGCGCATCCGCCGTGTTGATAAACAAATAATCCCTCTATATATTTATGTAAATATATATATATGCCAACCAATCACGAGCGATTTTAATTGTTTAAAAAGAAGTGGTTCCGTCCAATACTCAGTAAGAAAATTCAAGCCTGGCCTGGCCACGTGTGGTTTTGCTACCAATCACGAGCGATTTTACTTGTTTGAGAATAGTGGTTTCAGCCAATACTGAGTAGGTTATTCAAGCCAGACTTGGCCAGCCGTGCGGGTTCGCTGCATTTATATGCTAATTAGGGCCCTTTGTATAGCTGATCGCTCTCCACATACGTCAGAGTCCGTTCCCGACAATTTGTGGCACTGACAAACGGCGACAGGCGCGGGTTGCAAATTGTCGGAAACTGACGAAAATCAGGGAGATCTGCGGGAGTTTACTGGGACGAAAATCTCACTTTTCATGCAGTGAGGGGCTGGCAGTGGCACAGACGAAGTTCTGGGAGCCAGCATACATGATTTTTTTAGTCATCGGCCACAAGAAAAGTACATCAATATTGGACATGTGTGACTGGGGCAGTCCAGGAAGCTTTGTTGATGTTGTGTAAAGGTCAACATGATCAGTAAAAAAGGAAAGTCTTTTCTTGAGGTCAACTTTGCCACCTAGAAAACCAACCAAAAGCACTTTAAGGGGATTGATATTGAGCCATGGATTATTTACTACAGAACTCTGGCAATCTGGACCCAGAAAGATGTTCTGAAGAGCTGGAGACTTGAGGAAGGCAGAGACACTCAAGACAACGGCAGGAGATTGGCACAGGAATTCTAGGGATTAACAACAGCCATATAGAAAACTTAAGCCGGGGTTACACTGTGTGTTTTTTTGGCCTTTTCGTACCGACTTTCCAGTCGTGGGAGATTTTCTGATCTGGCCGACTTTCAGCCTGATCGTGTAATGTACATAGGGTTAACGAGGGGCGACCGGCCTCTCACGACCACCTCCCGATTAGGAATAGTGAGGTGGGCAAATCACTCAGTGGGCATGCACAAACACGGATTCTTCTTCTTCCTCTCAGATGAAAACACAGAAGCATAACGGGGGTGGGAGTGAAATGGAGTTCTCTCTATAAAATTGAAAGACCGTAGTAGCCATGTTTGCTCAGCCATGTCTTTGTCCAAATACATATTTTCTTTTTAGGGCTTTCAGCACAAAATTGCACAAATTGTCAAGGCAGCGTGGTTCACTCGAGTGAGCTTTATATTCCTCTTCTACTCGTTTGGCTTCCGGATTGAAAAAATCGCACAGTGTATGCCTGGCTTTAGTAACTTAATGATAAAAAAGTCTTACAGGTAGACACTGGTGTAGGAGTCTTGAAAGCTGCTGTTGGCTCAGAGAGTACTGAGATTGCAGAAAACCATTAGACTGGTGCTCAGCATGATGGAATTAAGAGACCGAGTGGGTTACCAGAAGACCTAATCTCAGGCAAGAACTCCAAAGACTTAAATGATATTCAGAATACTTGATGTCATAGTGGAAATTTGGAGTCTTGAATCTATGATGGAGCTCAGAGACTTATGTTGAGAATGAATCTATGGAGGATCCTGATCTATGGAGGAGCTGTGAAATTAGGTATACAAGAAGAACCTCAGATAGTAGGGAAGCTCTAAACATGGGACAGGAATTGGAAGCTTCAAGGACCCTGAAATGTGCTGAAGCCACATCATGGATCCTCAACAGAGCTCCGGAGAACAGTGCAAACCCCTGGAGGTCCCTAGATGGATCTCTGGACAAGAAACATGAGATAAATCACAGAAACCATAACTGGGGGCTGTATCCTAAATGCCTTCATATTCATTATAGCAACGCCAGATTCTTTTGCTGCAGATGTCATAACCATTTGGCATATAATAGAAAATAAACAGCCAGGTTCAAACAGTATTATCATTCCAAGTTAGTACTTCTTCTTATAAAAAGACAGGAACTGCATAACGATTTGAAATTTAGAGTTAAAAAATAAATAAATAAAACCTGCCAATTATGGACAGTTATAGACATAAGCAGGGAAGGCGTGAACATAAGCAGTATAAACCAGTGATAAACAAAGGGAAAAATAATAACATCACTGATAATCAAAACAGAGAAAAAAGGGAAACTTAGTTTTCCCTTCAGGAGTTTTACAGGGAAAACTACCAAAACATTAATATAGAGCTAACTTCTATAGCTAATAAAGTATAAAACAGGAAGAAACTGGAAGGTTTAAATAATAACCTAATAAGAAAAACTCAAAACGATGATGAACACTTGAATTCAAACTAAACAAGGCTAGTTATAAAGAACAAGAAACATAGAAAGATGTCTTAAAAACCAGAAAAAGGACTTAAATCAGAGGCAACCAGACTTTTGCGCAGTTTTTAAGAAAACATTTCCATACCTGTCCAGACCTTTTTGTCAACACTAGCTGAACCATAAGTTTGAGCCCTGCTATATTTAAGCACACAGAGGCTGATCCTTCCTCGTGCATTTCAAGTGAGATGTAAATCAATGACCTAAATGCTGTTCTCCTTTTTTGGGGGGTATTGTGCTTAGTGTTGGTCAGCTAGTGGAATCTTAATGGGTATACTTATATAATTTCCTTGGAATTAGTTTACAAATAGGCTCGTTGAAACTGAAACGGCAATCCTGTTCAATTCAATTCAGTTTATTTATATCATGCCAATTAACTCAAGGCACGTTACGGAGATAATACTGTGAGATAGTTTAGGTAACCAGTTGATAGCATCTAGTCATTGAGTTGTAAGACAAGTTCCTTCTAAAAGAACATCCGAATATGATTTTCACTTGCATTTTGTCCTTGACTCTTCTGAAATCCCTATCATTGAGCATACATGTAGCGACAGTGGAGTGTAACCCTTTTAACAGGAAGAAACCTCCAGCAGAACCAGGCTCAGTGTGAGCGGCCATCTGCCAAAGCTGACTGAAGTTCGAGGAGATAGAAACCAATATACAAATGAGGCAGATATACGAAAGGTAACTAGCTCTGCAGGTGGCCCTCTCCTTGTTATGGGTGCCATAATTTTTGTCCAGGGCTGTGTTTCTTTTCTAAAAAACTTTCTGTTGGCGCATAGTTGAAAAGCAGTGTCTTTAGATGGTTGCCTTTTTCAGAATTTTTCACATAGTCACATTGTGTGAGTAACACTTTAAGTACTTTTGAGGTTCTACAGGTAAGAATAATTAAAAGTGCTTAACTTTAAAAGATAGTTTTTCTTTCAATATTCTATCTGATTAGATCTCTGTGCCAGCCAAAGGTAGCAAAAAATGATTCATAATTGATGATGAACTCCAAAAAAGTCTGTATATAACTAAAATGTCTCAAGACTTACTGCCAATACTCCAGAACTGAAGATGAAAAGGATGCATTCAATGAAGAGGTCCAGTTAGAGGAGCCGTTATAGTTGTTTATTACCACACAGTGATCTGAAATATAGAAAAGGGGTTTTTAACTTGGCTATTTATTTAAAAATGCAGTCGAAAATCCTGAATGAAGTACAAAAGCATTGATTGCAAACATTCTTTGCATATTTTGTCACATAACGAAAACAAACCTGAACTTATAATATATGATAACTGTAAAGTTGAAATAAAAAAAAAGATTTTTATATTTTATAAATAAAATTTAATTGTGCATTCTTAGCCCTCATGAATCGATACTATAAAGAGGTCTTTTGTGATTTGTCTTTATCACCCTTAATCTTTGCAATACAAATTCAGTCATATTTCATAAAGAGCCTTGCTCAGCATCAGAAAAAAAATATTCTAACGCTGACTGCTGCCATCACAGACCCTGGCATTGCTCCAAAAAACCAACGGCGAGTGCATTATGCCGCCCCTAAATTCATCTTGGCGAGTGCATTGTTGCACCCTTAAATCCATTGCAGCTGGCACCGACACCCATCTCCGATCGTGCCCTACATCCCCCTCTGGTTTCGGCATTGCGCCCTCGGCGCATCGCGCTGGGTGCGCACATGGGGTGCCCTGAGCACAGCCTCAGCAGATGGCCGCTCTCCCTGAGCCTGGTTCTGCTAGGGAGCTTTCCTCTCAACTGTCCCCACATGCATGCTCAGTGCAAGGGATTACAGAGATTCTATGAGAATCCACAATCAGCTGGTTTTCCTTAGATAGAAATATTTTAAAGAATAAGATTGTGTTACCTGCATAAATAAATTGAATCCTTTCCTAATTGCAGCTTTTTTCTGTGCGAGAAAAGCTATATGCTTATATGCAAAGTTACTATTGCATTTGTTGTCCAACACACAGCCATTTGGGTATGTGTTCACAGAACACATATATAACAAAAAGGAAGTGATCTAATCAAATATTAAATGACATACTTGTATTAAATCGCACAACGCCACATAAATGGCATGCCAGCCATCTTTGTGCACTGTTGTTCCAAAATGTGGCACTCAGAATAAATCCGTTCTACTCTCCCAAGCTCTCCATGTTGAAGGCAGTAACACATAGAAAATTCTCATATAAATTGTTGGGCCCCTGACCTTTTTGCACTTGTTATCCATAGTGCATCTTTGTTGATCACTCACAACACACCCTATAATATTATATGCGATATTTAGTTCATGCAATCATTTAAGTGTTCCTTTTGGGATTTTACTGTATGCACATAATGTTGTGCAAGTCATAGAGAATGTGCAAATTTAGTGTAATCTGAACAACAAACTTTCTTTAGGGCTAAGTCAATAGTTCCATTCCTATTTCATCAAATGCCAGATTTGTGCAGCATTAAGGTAACTTTTATTTTCTCCTCCCTGCCTGGGTGTCATGCTTTATAAAAAAGCATGACACAACTTCTTTATCATGTTTTTTTTTTTTTTTTGTATATGAGAACTAGTTGGCAAGAGTACTTTTGCATGTACCATATGTCTAAAATCCTTGAAATTGTGTACGCTCTTACACTGTATATAGTTTACTTCAATGTTGTGATATGTCTTAGATCAATGTGTTATATTTAGTGCTTTTACCAGTGTTCCATGTGTTGTTACAAGATGTCCAGGGTAACTCTCTGGAGAATGCAGCGAAGAAGTAGAGGAAAGCCCAGGCCAAAACTACGATGTAGCTGGTACTAGCATAAAAAATGATCATCTGGCTGGCATATCCCAAGCCTGAAAATAAGATGGTTTATGATTTCCGTTTATTTCCTAAAATGTGCAGCTTTGTAATCACAGTCTTGCATTCTTTGAGAGCTTGCTTACCTTCAAACAATGGGCAGACCTTTCTCCAGCACATGATTCCCCCCTGACTGGTGTACTGACCCAGCGCTGTTTCCAGAATGAACATGGGAATTCCACAGGTAACAAGGAAGAGGATGTAAGGAATGAAGAATGCACCTAAAAAAATAACCATTCAATATTTATAAGGACTCAAAAACATTTTTTAAAAACTGAATGAATTAAAACCATATTTTCAAAATGGTCAAAGGGGAAAAACATCTCTCCACATCAATATGACCCATGAAAAAACATCTCCTTTTTGGGAAGTTGTTAATTGCAATCAACTTTGATGGCCAAATTTGTGTGCACAAACAAGGAATTTTTCCTTTTATTTTGTTTTTCCATTTGAGGTTTAAAATGTATTATTTAAGTGAGGCTTTAAAAAATGACGAGTTTATACCAATCCCCACTTTGGCTGTTTTATCCAACCAGATTACACTATTTGATCTTTTTTCCCTTGTCCTGTTCAGGATCATGGCAAGTAGACTGAATTTCTGACTGCCATAGTTGTGCTCAACAGTTTTAGTCTTTCAATGGAGCCTTTACCAATATAAAGCCTCTCTTGCTACCCAACCATTGAGGATTTATTTATTCTTAGTATACCACATACACTGCAAAAAATATAAATCTCAATAAGTTATTTTTTCTTAAAATAAGTGTGTTTTTTCTTGATTTGAGGAGGTAAGTAAGACACTTTGCCAATGGAACAAGACAATTTCCTTTTAAAATAAGAAAAAACTATTTTATCGTCTTATTTCAAGTAAATATTATCTAACTATCTTATTTTAAGAGTGAAAATACTCATTCCATTGGCAAATCATCTTATTTACCTGCTCAAATTAAGGCTAAATATACTTAATTTAAGCCATTTTTTACTTATTTCTGGATTGTTTTTGCAGTGTACATTCTGATACCAAACATGATGGGGGACAGCGAACAAAAAGGAATAGAGAGAGAGAGAGAGAGAGAGAGAGAGAGAGAGAGAGAGAGAGAGAGAGCGGGGGGGGGGGGGGGGGGGGGGGGTAAAGTGAGGTGGAACAAATAAAAGAAACAGCATAACAGAATCCAAAAACCAGCTGCTATCAAACTGATCCTGAAGAATACATGGGAAGACCTGGAGAGGACTGTGCGTGGACTGAGCTCAGCAATGGGTAAAGAGGGCCGCACTCCCCCCACTCGCTGCAGGAGCCCAGAGGGAGCATAGGGAGCACAGGATCCAGGACACCAGAAGCCCCCGACAGCACATAAATCTGTCAACCCACCACAGGGGCGGACATCACACACCCACCCAGAGGACCGCAGAGGAGGCCAAGGGTACACACCCACGAGGGGCAGCCCCAAGCACCAGGGGCAGCAGTCTACCAGGCCGCCCCAGTACGGCCCACGAGAGGAAAACAGGGCCCCAATGCCCGAGTGCCCCCAGCAGAGACCCCGCCCAACACACAAGAGGGAAGGGCAGCCCCATACAGACAGCCGGGGCGGGCCAACACCCAGCCCAGCACACCCAGAGCAGCGCTTCAGAGCCAAATGTGGCCATGGGTGAGTGTAGCAACGAGTAGTGAGGGGAGGCCAGAGGACACCTATTCCCAGACCAGGCTCCCTCCATAGCATCCATACACACACACACCTAAAGTGAAATACCTAAATTCAAGTAACAGAATGAATAAATAGATAGATAAATAAATAAGACAAATTTTAATGAGAAAAAAAGTGTAAATAAAGTAAAAAAATAAACAATTACAAATAAATAAATGAATAGTCCGGGCCTCTTGTCTATCGAGAAGTGCACCGACCAATGCAGCCACCGCCACCCCAAGCCCGTAGACTGAACCCCCCACCCCAAGCAGCCCCCAGGATATAGGGGTGCAAGAGCACCACAGTGTTGTGAGCTAAGATGCAATTAAAATGGCAGGGGAGGGAATGTAGAAGGATGCAAACCAGAGACAGACAGTGGAGCTCCTCCAAAGCCCCACCCCAAACAAGGGCCCTCAGTATCAGGTGATGCTAGGAGCCAGGAGCTGCGCAGAGCCGGCAACGTGGTTCCCGCTCTCCAGCTTTTGCACCGCTCCCCACCCCCAACAGCCCTGTGTGTTATGTATACAGTATGTGTCTTATGTGCTAGTGGCCAAGACCTTAGGTGAGTGAGTAAATGTTGAAGACTAGTGCCAGAGGGGAGAGGCATGGGGATGTGTAAGCCTAGGTGGAGAAGTGTTCCCCCCAGGTGATGAGGCCAAACTGCCAGAAAGGGCAACCCTATCCCCCAGCAGCCAACACATCCAAAGCAACCTATCCCCCCCGAACACAGAAAAACCCCTAACCAGGCATCCAACCCCTCACTCCAACCCACACCTGGGCAGTGTTGGGAAAGTTCTCTTTCTACGTGAACTAGTTCAAAGTTCAGTTCACACATTTTAAAATGAACTAGTTCAGTTCATAGTTCACAATTCCAAAAAACGAACTAGTTCATAGTTCTTTTTTTTTCATTTTTTTTTCATATATTGCTCAATTACACCATAGCCTACTGTAGAACCACAGACAGCAATTATTTTATCAGTTGTAACTCTGAAACTGTGCGTCAGATTTCATCTTCATATCCAGTTTTGAATCCTTATCCAACCAGGGTTTACATTAGCATTGAGGGGACAGCATTTCCATTCACTTCACACTAGTAGCAGCTGCAGCTTTCACCCCTACAGTATATTCTCAAAAACATCAGGAAAAATGTGCTGCTTGAATGGTCTTTTTTATGAGTAATTATTAAAAGAAAAATAGGAAAGTAGTCTTTAAGGTGCAAATGTTTTTTTTTTATTTTAATATTTTTTTCCATTTGAAATTCCATTTCAATACATACTAAAAAGGAATCCTGGAAAATTATACCAGGCAGGTTTAACAAACAAGTTACATGGATAGTAAAACCCTCAAGAACAGGGGTCTTCTTTTCCAGACCAAGAACCCCCAAACTGATGGCGAGATGGAGCGGGGACCCCCTAACTATATATATTGTATGAAATTGTGTCCTATAGTCACTCTATTACAGATGGAGTAATGTAAAGAAATTAATTTCTCCCTGGGATTATTAAAGTTTTTCTGATTCTGATTCCTGGTTGATGGGACAGGTGTTGTGAAGGAAACGGTGCCCAGCTTGAAAGAGCTCCTGTGTGTCGCTGAATGTGAGCATTGATGACTGAAAGACATCTTTTGTCTCCATTTATCTGTTTACTACAGTGTGTTGATTTCATGTTAATGAGTATTTAAAGACATTTCAATTACTGGGGGAAAAAATGCGGGGGGGGGGGGGGGGGGGGGAATATAAAAATATCAACTAACCATGCAGACCCTCATGCAGTACCTCCGTAGACCCCCTAGGGGTCGCGGATCCCCTGTTGAAGACCTCCGCTCAAGAAGATTTTACTAACACAAACTGAGGGACCAGGCTGAGGTAGGAATTTAAGGTTACTGAAGTGCGGATTTATTTACTGAAAGACGGCGGGCAAACTTGTTGCCATCATCCTCACCGACCACCTGTTCATAAACCTGTTTTAAGTCGCCTCCATGCTGCTGTAGCTTCAACGCTGCATTTTGTTTTGATGACGCACGCGGCTGTAGGCTACGAGGCTGGTAGCTGCTGTTGCCAGATTGGGTGTTTTTCCCTCTACATATTAAGGCCTGTTTACGGTGTGATTTAGCCGGGGTTTCGCCTGGAGGGCTTTATAGAAATCTGGCAACCTATTGAAAGGAACTGAACTGAGAGAGCGTGCCGTTCACAGACACCAGAATGAACGAGTTCACAATAACGTTCATCAGGCAATAATGCAGTACGTTCAGTTCACGTTCGCCCAAAATATGAACGAGTTCATGAACTTTCGTTCAATGAACGCGTTCAGGCACAACACTGCACCTGGGTGACCTTGCCCCCCGCCAACCCCACTCACCACCACACGGCAGCTTCATCTTTGGGCCACCAAGGCCAACCCCCAGACTACATACACGACACACCCACAGCAAGCTAACCAACCCCCACACCCAGAAGAGCACCAGGGTCCCCCAACCCTGGGATCCCCCCCACAGCCAACCCCAGACCCACCATGAGCAGGGAGACATCGACCCACTCTCCCCATTTAATGATGGAACTAATCAGAGAGGACCAGAGAGTACAAGTATCAGTCAGCTGATGTTTTGAGCAGGCAGACATTGTTTCAATACTGAAGTGACTATCTTTTAAAGTGATCTATTTCTAAACTGATTAAAGCTGCAGTCTGTAACATTGAGAAGAGAGCAGACTTCGACTGAAAATTTGAACAAAAACAGGTTTCACTCCACTCCCCCACCCTCTCTGCTTCACTCATGCCCCACCTCCAAGCTCCACCCCTCTCACAGCATCTGCGCGGCTACCGCATGCGACCAGAAGGGGGGATTCAGCGTGTGTGAGCTGTGATTGACACTCCATCAGACGCTCCTCTGGCTGTGATTGGTTGTTTTGACTCGTCCCGAATTATTCTTTCCAGATTGAAATACAGGCAGTAGGCGGTACCAATTGAAGCAGTTTTTTTCACAGGTTACATATCACATGTACTGCTGTCTGGGCATAGGGACAGTTTTAGCCAATGTGACAAAAAAGTGATTTTTAAAAACTTACAGACTTCAGCTTTAATAGACAGTTTTATCTTTGTGTTCCAGTTCAGAAGAATAGGTTTCTTTGTGATACCTAGGGCAGTGAGTACTACAGGTGCTGAGTTAACATCTATGCTGCTGCCACCCAGCTTGCCCTGTAAGCACAGTGTGGGGTGTGCTGGAATATTACATGTAAGTAACCCATGCTGAGCAATCCTGACAGACCTCAGTCCAGAGTCTCTGAACCGGTGCGCAGAACCACAAGCATGCATATATTCATCAGGTGTGTTCTCTATGCACAGATATTGGTGTGTGTGTGTAAGACCTATCTTGAACATCCTCTGTCCTGTAGAATGTGTTCTGAGAAGTATTTTATATTGTTTGAGTTGTACATTTTTATTTTTAAGTATTCTAAAGGTGTTAAAGCATATTTCTGACCAAAATTGTGATCTAGTTGTAAAGATAAGTGTGTCTCCCATTTAAGGGTTGGTAACGACATTGAGTTATCTATAATGGTTAGTAGTCTGTATATCTTTGAGAGGTATTTAGGCAGTTGTAAGTCTGGTTGCTTTACCATATATTTTGTATTAATTACTGCCTTGAGTGGTTGGTATTCTAAAAATGTGTTGCTATTTATTTCATATAGTTTTATAAGTGTGTCAAATATAAAAAAAAATTAGCATTTTTTTGTTTTGCAGGATGTCAGGGTTGTTCCAGATGGGTGTTAAATTGCACGTAAAGAGTGGATATGGTTATTTTAAGAAACTCCCACAAAGCTGTCAAAGAGGAGCTGATGTTGATGCGTTTAAAACATTTACAATGTTTAATGCTCGGACTGATAAATGGTAACAGTAACTCTTTCCAGATTGTCACAGAATGACAAGATTGTTCAATAACCATTCATTCTTCCTGTTTTGGGTTACTTTTAAACGAACGTAAGATATACTGCAGCCTATTGGATAAAAAATAGTGCTGGAAGTTTGGTAACTCTAAGCCACCACAATCTTTGGCTTTTTGCAGAGTTTTTAAGCTGATTCTTGGTGTTTTATTTTTCCATAAAAATTTTGAAATACAGGAATCTAATGACTTAACCCCTGCAATGCCAAATGTATCATATTTGATACAAACAGTTTTTGAAATGTTTTGCGTCTGACACCTTTTGCATAATTTAATGGTAAAAACTTTGCTAAAAATCCTACTGTACACAATCAGATATACCTGATAATAGAGGGCAGAAGACTACCCAAAAAATAATCTTGACTTATCGCATAGTAATAAATTATTAATATAAAAAATGTATTTCTGTTTTTTCTTTTTACATATTTTGTTAAAAGGGCATATAAGGACTTCAAACCAAAAAAAAGTTATTTTTTTATTTTGTTTTATTCTTGGATTGGGCTTTAAAGGGTTAAACCATGCAGAGGATGGTCTTGTGGGGATCATTTAACAGGAAATTTACTCTAGGAAGAACCACTCTTTTTATGGTGGCTGCTCTACCAGTTAGTATAATGGGCAAGGGATTCCATTTTGTGAGATCATCTTCTATAGATTTTAAGACTTGATGTGATTCAGCTTTGTTAGTTACGAATGCCTGGGGGAGATGTTTATTCCCAGGTATCTAAAGTTTTTTGACTTCAGAAAATTAGTTGATATATTTGTAGGGCTACAATTTACAGGGAGAATCGTAACTTTGACCAGTTCATAGAGTAATCAGAAGGTGCTGAGAACTTGTTTATTTTTATCATAATATTATTGTTATTTTTATTTAGTGCAGTTGTGTTAGTGAGAGAAACCTGTGGATTCTGGTGGAAAAGTAATATATCATCTGCATAAAGACTTATCTTATGCTCAACATTTTATATTTCTGCTCTGCCTGATGGCAGCTGCTAGGGTTTCAATAAATTGTGCAAAAAGTGAAGCAGAGAGTGGGCCTCCTAGTCTGGTGCCTCTCTGGAGGTTGAAGGTTGGAGAATTTGGTCCTGACACAGGCATTTGGAGAACTATACAACATTTTCATCCAGTTTATGGAGGATGGCCCAAACCCAAATTTGTATAGTATAGTAAACAGGAATTTCCATTTAACATCATAAAATGCTTTTTCTACATCTAGTGAGACAATTTTGGCTTCTAAGTTTTTGAGAGTAGAATAGTCTATTAGATTAATTAACCCAAGTGCATTAATGGAAGACTGTCTTCCCTTTATGAAGCCTGTTTGATCTGGATGTATTAAAAGAGGTGTTCCTTTTTCCAGTCTTCTAGCAAGGTTTTTGAGATTGGCAGAGTGTAGGGCTTTCCCAGGTTTCTAGAGCAAAATAATATTTGCAGAATTCCTGTTTGTATCTAATGAAGTGCTGACATAGGAGCTTATCTGCTATGGAAGAATGGCCAGTGAATTTAAGACTGTGGGTTTAGGCTGAAGGGAATCAAAACTTAAATATATACAGACCCTGCATAAATTAGATTCAGCAACTAAGCCTTTAAATGTATTTTGATGTGCTAAACATGTGTAGGGTTAATATGTGGTTTATGCAAGGTCAGGTGTAACTGAGTGCTTTGAATGTAGAGATGTGGACAGATAGGCAAAAGCAGCTACAGTGGCTACTGCTGCAGCGACTGATGTCAATGGAGGAAGAAACCACAGATGAAGTTGTCTGGACCAATACTCCACCAGAACCAATTGTTTTCAACAGCATTTCAGGTAAAAGCAATGTTGAACTTTCTAAGGATGTTGGAGACTATGCTTGCTCTGCTTGTGTCATTGACTCTGTTGATGAATGGGTTGTTGAGAGAGAAAAGGCTGGAAATCAGTCAGTGAACCCAAAACCACCACTGCTGGCACTGATGGCATGTCAGATGACATCTGTGCCTCTAAGTTGGAAGCTTTGTCACTACCAAGGTGGGCTTCAGAGATGGCTGGGTCAGCCCTTAAATAGGCAACTTTCACCAAAAGATACATAAAATGTTACAATAAATGCTAAATAGTTGATAAAAGTAGTTTTCTGTTAAAAACAGTCAAACTTATTTAATCTTATCAAAGAAAGATACTACATATGGTAAAGATAACGCTTATATTAGATCCAATTACATAAGATTTTATTTGTAAAAAAAAATGACAGCAGTTTATTTTCATCATCTGCGAAAATCTTGGATTTTGAAAATCGAAAAAAGAAACAAATAAAACACTTACCTCCACCATTCTTGTAACAAAGGTATGGGAATCTCCACACATTGCCAAGTCCAATAGTGGCACCAGTCACAGAAAGGAGAAATTCAATTTTACTCTCCCATTGGCCCCTCTGCTTCACAGGCTGTGAGGTCTTTCTCAGCAGTTGGCACCGCTTCAACAGGGAGTCTGCCATCCTGATAGGTAACCAGTTCTATGACTGATGTAGATCTTCCACTTGTCAATTGTCTTGCTCAGAATCAAGGCAGAATTATAGGTTACCTAATGCAGAAATATTGGTTACCTAATGGTGACCTACACACAGGCAGGCAGACCTTTGGTGAAACCACAAGGGGGCCCTCTAGCTGCTTTCAATAAGTTATGTTTATAAAGCCTAAAACCCAAAAAAGAATGTTTAGAATAAGTTTTGTTCTTTCTTTTCATTATTTCTGGAAAACAAGCCCTAACCAGCACAGTGGATGAGGTATGTGAAAGTAAGGTTCACTGAATAGTTACTATGTAACCCTTAGTAAAATTACAAATAACAATTGGACAATTGACAAAGGAACAAGCCAGGCATTTGCACAAGTTTTTAAAATTCTTATTCAACATACAAAATCTGATTATTTAGCCTTTTTATTTAGAAAGTAAAGTTTGTTTTCATATAGTGCTTTACATCTTTAAAGGAAGACTATCAAGTTTGCCTTTATGAATAATTTCCTTTTAATTGGTCTGAAATCTAGGTTAATTTAATCTATAGAAGTTCTAAAGAAACCAAATATCACACTTTTTTTTGTAAATGGCTTAGAATTCTTCAATCTTCAATATTCGTGTTGCTTTGTTGAGTTAAAACATGTGCTTGGTTGGTTGAGGATTCACGCAATTAAAAACAAAAAGCTTGGTTGTTTTCCTTATACCTAAGGTGTAATAGATTTGTTCCTAAAACCTAAGTGACAGTGTTTTTCGCAAGACCAGACATTTTCTGAGAGTCGATACTTGATAACTTTTTTGGTGATACCTGAAATCTAATGACTTGACTAGTGAGAACCTGAAGGGTCTTAGAAATAAATAAATGGGGCTGTGGTATTTTCAAGGAGATTTCCACCAGGTTTCCTTCACACAGTATTTGGCATGTAAATCATAAAGTACAGCTCTCTATTTTATCTGCCCTGAGTATCTTTTTAAATGTTTGATACTGCTTTTAGTAAACTGAAAACATAATTTTGTATGGTTTTCTTTTAATCATGACTTTTTGCAAATCTTCAATAAACCCAATTTTTGTGGCTTACAGTTGTGCTGTCAGTTCCTCAAAATGTACTGTTCTTTTGGGCTTGTTTCTTGTTAATAATCTTTCCTCTGGTTTTAAATGGATGTGCCATACTTTTCATTTTCGGATGATTAGTTTAACAGCACAATGTAAGATTTTAAAATCTTGACTAGTTGTATTGTAACTGAGTTGTGTTTTACATTTCTCAGACATATAAAACACTCAGAAATGACAGCAGTGAGGGAGAAAAATGCCCTGTGATGAATAAATAAAAAGCAAAGCTGTAGTTTTAGTAAAGCTTCAGTAAGCCTGTGGCTCTAAGACTCAGCTAGGTCCCAGTTGTTCTTTTGTTATTCTGTAGCTGTAGCCTGCAATGGGGCCCCGATGTTTCAAAGGGGAATCAGGGAAGAAGTGCTGTGGGCCTGCATTTTCCTTCAGCATGTGAGTGGATGGACCTTTATTCTGGTAAAATAACAGTGAAATTCCTGGTATTCAGCAATAGAGCAACTTGCATCTGCTGCCTTTTTAGGTACTTCCACTTGTTTGTTATGTGGTATGTTTGAAGAATAAGATGTCCTAGCTGACAGGATTAATAGGTTAATACTGATTTCACAGCTCACCTCTCATTTGTATTCTCTAATCCTTCACTTTGCATGTATGTGCTGATGGGGTAGGGCTCTCCAGGGATGGACTTTAAAAAGTACTGTTTTTGCGAAAGATGGCCACAGCGCCACAGTTTCCCTCCATTAGTCAGAGTGGTTGTCAAAGAAACACTGTTATTGATGTATTTTGAGTGTTAATTGAAAATATAATGAAGAAAATGATGCAGAGACCAGGAGATAAGAAAAAGAAAGTGAGTGATGCATTTTTACAAATAATATATTGATAATAATTGTATTTACGAGTAGCACTGTTGATCGGCTATTAAGGGAATGATCTTCAAACATAACTGATAAGAATTGCTAAGCAGCATTTGAAAAAGCTCCCAAAAGATTGCTTTTCTGTTTTTTTTTTTTTTTTTCGCTAGAGTTCCTTCAGGCCCATGGCCAATTGAGCATTATTGTCCATGATAAATATTTTATTTAGCCTTGTTTTTAATCTGATGAAGATTAAATGCTGGCGTACCTTAAAGAATACATTATGAACAGTTTAGTTTGTGCCTTCAAGTCGTTGTCCATAGGAAGATGTTGCTTGGATTACAAAAATGAATATCTTCAGAACAGCTCCAAATGACACAAAACTCATATGGGTGAGTAGAACATGATGTAATAACGTAAATCAAGGGCCCAATGTAAAAAAAAAAAAAACGCATTCCCCTTTAAGTTTGTCAATTATGGACTTTTAGCAGCCTTTTATTTAGCCTAAACCTAGTAATTTTCAGGCCAAAGAAGGTTTCTTTTATTGCATAAAGGTCTAAAGGTTTCTTTTATTGCATAAGTCTGGCATACTCTGTATGATGTTTTCATTTATACTCAGCTGCAGCTTTACTCTTGGGTAGATTATTTATCTCATTCACATTCATGAACACCAAAGGTATACAATTCCTCAGTTAACTCTGACTTATATCCCTTCCTTTGACACCCTGCCCATATGAAATTAAACAATAATGTGAATTCTAATAACATACAACTTTATATCAACCTTAAAATGCTGTAGATGAAAGTTTTTGCTTCCCACTTCCTTTTACTGGGTGGGGTCAGGGTCCCCAGTCTGCCCAAATGATTGTGGGCAGATCTACACCTGTTCTAATCAGAAACTACATATAGAAAACAGCTATAAGAACAACACTTATTTTTTTCAAGTATTTCTTTATCGTCTTTCTTCTGTGGTAGTCATTTCCATAAATAGTATTCCCTTGATTTATCATAATCTCATTTTCCTTCGCTGCAAGGCTTAGGTTCCTCACAGCTGCTCTGCTTCTCACTGGCGGCACCTCCACTTACATTCCTCTCCATCTCGGCTCCTGGGCAGTTCCCAGCGTAGATCCTGGTGCCACTTTACCATTGAATGTGGATTTTAGTTAAAGGGGTCTAGAAAAAGATTCCTAGCTCTTTCAGGACCTTTTAACGGGCATGTATTTTTTTTTCCTTTTTTGGACCAAGTTTGTGGAGTAATTTTGATTGAAGAAAAACTGCTTTTTCATTGTTAGTCATATATTGAATACAGTTATAGATAGAAGGGGTTTATCAGCTTCCAACTTGATCAGCAAAGCTCTTTGTGCTCGCTTGATAATCACAGCAGAGTCTGTTGGGAGTAAAACCTAGAGAAAGTGTTCCACGTTGCCCCATGGAGCCGTCCCCCCCCCCCTCCACCCCCCCACCCCCCCCCCCTCTAGATCCTCTTTCAGGCCAAAGAAGTATATGTTATTCCGCAAGCTTTTGCCCTCCAACTCACCCAGCCTTTCCAACATTCTCTGTTGTTTAAGAGACTGGATTAACACATCCCTTGGAGTCACACTTTAGTCCTTCATTTCAGTGATTCTCTACTGTAAATGTAGGTAACTTGCTCTATTTTAGAAGCACTAAAGTAAAGCAAGTTAAAAAAGAAAGACAATATCTATCTATCTATCTATCTATCTATCTATCTATCTCTATGTATGTATACAGGGGAGGATCTAGGATCCTAGGAGATCAGGGGCTTAGCCCCAAGGGTGAAGATGAGAGAGTAGACTTTCTTCTAAATCCCGTTCTAATGTAAAATATGACAGATTACTGGATTAAAGAAATTTCTACTATACTACATACTATCACACATAACAATTCCCCCTCGATTACATGGGAAGAAATGAATTCACCTGCAAGTCTTTAACTGTGTTTATCCCTCTCTTCATCAACAGCAAACTCTGTGGATTTGGTCAAATTTGATCATTATTTGCCAAAGTTATCAGAGGGAAATCATATATTTTAGCCGCCTGATAGAATCCGTTTCCCCATAACATGGGGAAAAAAATAAACAAATCCAGTGAAACTGTCATTATTTTTCATATATCATGTTTAAAACATTTATTATTTTATATTTTTAAATCCAAAATAGTTTTTGGATTATCTTTATTTCATGTATTTTAATTCTCAATTCCAAATGTCTGCAATAGCATTGCTCCAGACATTTGGAATTAAGAAACATCTTCAAACTTGGAAAACAATGTCCAGTGGTTTTGGTTTGAACTTTTTTTTTTGGAATATTTATGAATTGTTAGATAAACATTTAAACAGAAAATATATTTCATAAAGATAATCAAAGGTGGAACGGATTCTATCAGGGGGCTAAAATATACGATTCCCCCCTCATAACTTTGGCAAATAATTATCAAATGTCACTAAATCCAGAGGATTTGTTGTTGATGAAGAGGAATAAACACAGTTAAAAATGTGCAGGTAAATTAATTTCTTCCCATGTTATGGAGGAGGAACAGATTATTTCAGGCAGCTGAAACATCAAGTCTCTCCTCCTCCCATATCTTTGGGAAGTAAAAGGCATCTGTTTCCAGATTCTCAAAAATTGTTTGTGTGATATCATGTAGTATACTAGGAATGTCCTTAATCCAGTAATCTGTCATATTTTACTAAGAACAGGATAAATCAGAAAGTCTAAACTCTCATCTTTTCAGGAATATTTGTGTCCTGCTATCAGCCAGTTTCCATCCTCTGATATCAGCAATGAAAAATGATTAATACTCACTACTGTTGGAAAACTGTTTGGTGACTGATTTTTATTTCTGTCAGGTTTAAGTGACAGAAGTTGGAAAAAGACGATTTTCTTGGCGTTTAAAATAACACAAAATAGCTTTAAAGCACCTCGTCTATTTATTTATTTTAAAATTTTGTAAACAACAGCTGCTGATTAAACTGGATGTTGCAACCGTGACATGATTATAGCTGATTTTAGCGAGAAATCGATCAGACGCGTCGTGAAAATGGTCCCATCCGCCATGTCCGCCTCTCTGGCTTCAATGCGATTCCCGAAATAAGGGGAACAGAATTTCATACACCACCGGGACAAACAACGTCTGGAAGTCAGTCAGAGCTTCACATCCCTGGAACATCAGTCTGTTTAGCAACAGCCATTGGTGAGAACTTCTTCTTCTGCACGGGAATGCTACGGGCTGCTTTCCTGCCTTTGCTGCCCCCATCTGGTGAAATCCAGTACTGCACATTTTACTCAGATCAGCTCAGAAGCGAGATCCGGGGCTCTAGGGGAAACATCCGGGGCTGCAGCCCAAGTAGCCGCCCCCTAGATCCGCCACTGTATGTATATATGTTTTGCCTTTAAGTAGTAGAGACAACATACATAATAATATTTCTATATAGCTTGAAAATAAATAGAAATGAAATTTGTGATTAAATCTATAACAGTCAATGATAAGATACACCATTATGGACCAGTTGTAAAAGGAACAAAGGTTCCTGGGTCCACACTGAAAGTCGAATAACTGAAAATGGGGGAATGCAAAGGCTACTTTGACTGTGTGCATAATACAAAGGCTTTAATGCTTAGTTTCAACAATGAGCATCAAGGGATTAACAGAGGATGAAAAGTGGGTGTTAAGAGTTATAGTTCTTCTTTATTTTGTGGTATTCTATACTTTTTTTCTAGGAAAATAAATCTGCATATCCCTAACTCTACAAAGACACATACACATAATAACAATAAAAATGTCATATTATCTCAGAAAGTCTTTTATTATTCCTATCAAAAGTCATACAGGGATTCAATAAAGTTTAAAAAATAGATTTGGCACATAGATAATATAAGGCTCTATAAAACAAGCTAACACCTTATGAACATAGATATTTACTCATATATCACATAATATATGTATGTATAATGTAAAAAAAATATTTAAAATTAAATCAAAAGCATTTATCGTAAATCACCAGTGTTTAAACTGCCCTTAACATATGCTGTGAGAACTTAGAGTATGCTGGTATGTCTTATCGGCTGGTGGTGGATAAAATTCATTGCAAAATATTCTAATCACAGTGAAATATCCGACATGCAATTGCTCAAATGTAAATCAGAGTTGTCAAAATTTCCTTTCCTTTTTTCTCAGAACTTTATGTTTTAGAATCACATACTTCTGAAGAAACAACCTTGTGTAATTTTTGAGACATTTTGTTAAATACTACTGATGAACAATATGAAACTACAGCTTTAAAGCCTTGTGTGTAGATTTGGATTAAGTATTACAGTAAAGCTATTTGAAGTTCCACTAACTGTACTAATGTGTATCGAAAGGTCATTGTCATTGGGGCTGTCTTTGGGTCGGTGAACATGAGTACAGGGTTTATATTACTGTGACACATCCCAGAAGAAATGCACAACAGAGACTGAAATTACTGGCTAAATTAGTCAGAACATAGGTTAGTCTCACTCATTGTAGCATTCATTTCCAGCATTTAATTAATTTCCATTGGTGCAGAGATAGTGTGCATACCTAAGCACGGGATTGTCTATACATATCTAATAGCTGATTGCTGTCCAAGACCAAATTGCCATTGATCTAAGAAAAAAGTGTTCTATTTCATCCCTACTGACCGCCAGAGACGGCGCTTCAAGCACCGCCTCTGGCGGTCATCCGGGATTCATAGAACCGTAGTTACGGTAGTAACTTTCGTTCTTCTGATTATGCTTGTTTCTTTTTATTCCAAATGAAAGCTCAGCCAACTTAAGCTGAAAGTGTGAATCATAATCTTCATCAATGTGCACAGATGGTTCCCAAAACCTAGTGTATATTTATGTATTATTATTATTACCTTATGTTTACCAAAGGTAAACCATATGTTTTGGATGCATGGGGTTTCTGAGAAGTGAACCTCATGCCAAAAAAGTGTTTGAAATGTATAAAACATCTCTGATATACTTGATTGAAGCTATAGTTTAGAACCATGTATGATACAATATCAGAGTGTCAGTGTTACCCTTAGCAGATTATATCACAAGAGTGCACCTAATCTCAAAAAGCTTGTACTCCATGCACCTTGGAACATATGATTTACCTTTGGTGTATTAAGCTAACAATGATAATTTGTAAATATAGACTAGGTTTTGGATACCCAGTTTTAAGTTCATTTGACTGGCATTTCAGGATTAATTTTGAAATTATTTTTTTATTTTATACCTTAAATGGCCTTGCCCCACCATATCTGCTACATCTTTATCTGTCAGTACCTACAGTAGAACAAGCTGGGTTGGATTTGCAACTGCATATCAGACAGGCTTCCTCTTTGACAATTTTTAAATCTCTTTTAAAATCCCACCTTGTCTTTCTGGCGTTTTCATACTCAAAAGTATGTTGGTGTTGGCCGGTTTTGCTTTTTCATTTATTTTCTACATTGTTTTTACTTTTTTACTATCTAATTATTTTTTTATATTGTTTTTATTCATCTTTTAATGGTGTTTGTATTTCTGCTTTTGTGCACTTTTGTCCTATTGTTTTTTTTAAGTGCTATATAAATAAATTTTGATTGGATTATGAGCATGAAAAACATTTATGAAAAACAGCAGGCCTTTAAGTTAAATTAAAGAAAAAAATTATTTAGTCCCGGATCTTAAAATGATTTGCAAACTTGTTTTTACACTGAAAACTTTCCCTCATACAAGGCAAGGTGATCTTCGTGTACAATTCAGCAGGCAGCATGTGCAAACATTTTTTTTGGGGGGGTATGTAGCTTTACTACTATACAGATCGTATTCTTATGATGAAAATTCTCAAATTTATGGATAATGGCCATCCAAAAATAAATTATGAAATTTATCAAATACTCAACTTTAAGAAATAAAATAAATCTAAGCGTTTTTTTTTTTCTCCTCTTCCAGTATACATGTTCATATACTATAATTTTATTTCATTTTGGAATATGTATATAACCAAGACAGCAAGCAAAAAATCTCTGGTCTAGCATTCTGGCTATAAAACGTAGTCTCTATATGTTTACAATTCCTCACAATCATATTCCAGGCAATGTGAGACTGGATTTCAATTTTAGTACCTTGCTACAAAACCTGTACTTATTTGAATATAAAGAGAAAATGCCAATATTTTGGAAAAAAAATATATGAGACCCACACTAAAAAATTTAGAAAAGTGTAGCAAATTTTATCTCATGAGATTATATGTTGTTTTTAAGGAAGAGACACAATTTCAAAGCATAGGCTCATTTTGTTCTTTGTTCTGAACATGCTTTGGTGTTTTGGTACTTGGCATTTTATTATCCATGCTTGGAAGGTCATCTGCAGGCAGGGAGGCCAACTTGAGTCGCTGAGAAAAGAATAAATAATGTAAGAAACATAGCTTGGCTTCCACTGGCAGAATAAAAATGACTGACTTCAATAGCGTCCTTAATTTCATGCATGCTCTCTTTTTCACTGACCTGCCAGAGAGAGCCTTTTTTTTGGGCCAATTTGAAGATCATGTTAAGCGGGATCATAGACAATGATGACATAGCCAGAAACCAGCCAATCCAGTAAGTCCACCAAGGATACACATATGTGTTGTTGAACCTCATTGGAATGTATCTTACAAGTAAAAATACAAGAGTGGCCTTAAAAGATAGAGTAAGCAAAGATAAATATTTTGAATCAAACTGAAAGATTATTCATACAACTGATATGAAGTATTTTGGGCACTTACACTGCAAATAAGTGGGGTGATGTAGAGCCAGCAGTACTTAAACAGTGGTAGAGGTTTGTAACCAATCATGTCTTCAATGTTGTCACTGAAGCGTCCAGCACCTAAGACCAAGGGCGTAGGTTTGATTTGAACTTTGGTAGGGACACTATTGGTCAAGTGTCATTGGTGCTATGCAATATGCATGCCCTTTTTATGCTTGATGTGAGCATCCGTACTGATAAGAGGAATTAATTGTTAAAAGAGAAAAGCATCATTTTGCTACATTAATAAAAATTTTATAAGCACTACACTCATTAGATGCTGTTTATCAATGTTTGAAGTATCAACGGCTCTGATGAATGTGGAATTAAGACTGTTTTCCACTTTGAAAATGGTTTAATTTGAACGACTAAAAGAGAAGGTAAATACAGTATATTCTTTTGAAGAATTAGAATTGTGCAGAGTTAAACCACGCTCTTATATTTTTATCTACTACTGTATGCTGTCTCTGTATCAAGCAAAATAGTACATTCATTAAAATATTAACTTCACTATAAAAGTTGAACAACTGGGCTGTAGTTACTCTGTGTAGCCCATTTCATGTATTTTATCTGGGGCTGAAAAAATGAATCGTATTAATTGATTATTTCAATAATTGTCAACTAATTTAGTAAGTGATTCATCATTAACTGGAGAATAGAGACTCTAAAACATAATATAAATATAAAATGTGCCTTTCCCCGACAGAGCAACCCACTTAGATCAGTAATTATACCAAAATTGTAAAAATACAATATATATATATATATATATATATATATATATATGATATATAAGATAAAAAAAAAAAATTTTGTCTGTCAATATTCTCCACCAAGAACTCCTCATGTGGAAATATTTTAGTTTCACCTGGTTTATTTAGACATCAACTGAAGCACTGAAGGGCAGCTGCTTCACCTACAAGCTGCCCTGCATCATTACTGTGTTTCCTATAATCATATAATCTATAAGTGCATTTTTAATAGTAAAGGATTAAATGTAACACAACCTTTTATCATCGTCCTATATTACTTACTATCTGACTGTTTAAATAGCTCCTTATGTCTATTTTCTTTTTTAGTGGCATCATCTACAAACACAACACTAAGAATGAGCCTAAGTAAGAGCCTAACTCCCTCCTGACCTCCGCAGTATTCACTCTCTCCCCTTATTCAATTGTTAAAATCACTTTTAACAATTATAAAAGACAATATAACACTATCTTATCTGTAATTTAATAATATCCAAAATTAACAGCCAGATTCAAGCATTTTTACCAGACATTAATTTTTGTACTAATTTACTTATAGACTGTGTGGAAATCTATCTAAGTTAAAATCAATGTTAATATTCTTCCTCTGTTTGTTCTTGTCTCTATCCTATTTCTAGAAGTATAAATAGTCAGTTAAATTACTATTATTATGTGGAACCCTACAGTAATTATGCTTTTTAAATGAAAAATAGCAGATGTTTAGACGCCATTTCTTGTTGTTATACTCTATAAGAGAAATAACACCTGCTAATAATTATACCTGAACTTCCTCAAAGAGTCATCAAAAAATGAAAACAGTAATAGCAACTAAATATCTGTAAAAAAGAAACCCTCACATTTTCTTTTTTAGTTGGCTGTGGCTAAGGATCAGAAATGTTGATGGCTTACAGCCTTTATTTGCCCATTTTTCCAGCAGTCTTCAGAACTCCTGGCTGACTCAGAATATTTCGTTTTATAAAAGAAAGAAAGAAGGCGGAACCTAAGGCAGAACAACCAATGAGAGTGGCGTTAAACAGCGCAGCACAGTTCCATGCGCTGCTACGTGAAAGGGACAGGAGCGACCAGGCAAAGGAGCTGTGAGAGGAAAAGAAGCCACTGCTGCAACAACTACTGCTGTAAATTATCAACATGTTGCTCACATCCAATTATTGGTAGGGACAATTAGGTGGGTTCAAAATTTTGGTAGGGACATGTCCCTATATGCAAACCTACGCCCATGCCTAAGACAGATATACAGGTTACTGATATACCTCATTTACTTTTCCACATACGGCATTTATTTCTTTAGTGCATTTTATTTTTGTTGACTTTCAGTAATATTTACAATAATTCAATAGATGTTATTTCAACGATCCCATCAAAATAGAACTAATTTCGAAAGATAAGAAAGTCAGCTCAGACCTAGTTTCACAATTCAATTGAACATAATTAAAATCTAGCCATAGCCTGTGATTAAAACCCTTGCATTTTTTTTTTACATCTTTTTGACTTGCAACCATAGGTTTCACTGTAGTCCAAAGGGATTTTTATGTGTTTTATGTGATTTTTATGTTTATGTACTGAGGTCTGAAACTTCAGGACTGAAAATTAGTTCCACTCCGGTCCTGGGTGCGGGTTTTCTTTAGCACAGAAGCAACTCTGCAGAGATTCAACTTTTACCTGCAGAGGAAAATGATTAAAGGTGTTAGAAAAATCTTTCTTAAGTAAAAAAAAAAAAAAAAAATGATATGCATGTGCTTTTTTTCCTTCGTCCCAAGAAATATGAGATACCTAGTGTGGGTCTGTCAAATGAAATCCTGATTTTTTAAAGAGAGATGGGAATCACATCCATTGATAACACTAAAATATGTCAATTCATATTTTCAACAGCAAGTGAACAGGCTTAATATTTCAACAGGCCAGAGAGGTTCTGATTTGGCAAGTCTTGTGGGCAGTGTGAAAACAGAGCTTAACAAAGACAGAAGGCAACATTCACCATCACTTAAAGTTAAGCAGCATTTTAACATCATTCTTATCGTTTCTTTTTTTAAGGTTACTATTTTACTATAACAAATTAAAACCAAAAACTGTCTTACCATATATCCATCCAATTATTACTGACTGGAAGATTGCCATTAGAAGGAGAGTTGGCCCGCTGCAGACATAGTGATCAAAGATCTGCAGAATGTATGCTCCTGCCTAAAATGCAGACAGACCATACATTTATTTTGGTAACATTTGATTACCAGTTTATGATATGCAAGTAAGTAGTTACAGTTGGACCAAACATGATTCATCCCTTGAAGCAAATTAGGTTTATCAACAAGAAATACACAAATTTTATGTTTGAAATAAGCAAATCACAAAGAATTTTAATAATTCATTGTGTGTCAAGTGACATCACAAATTAAAGAAAAACACACCCATTTTAATGGCGTTTTCATAAACGTTCTGAATCCTTTCATAGATCCATCTTGTCAAGCATATGCTGCAGATCTTCTATTTCATAGGAAGCAAGGCCACCCCAAAGAATCACTGAGCCACTATCATGTTTTACTGAAGGTATAGTGTTTTATTGTAAGCTTAATTTTTTTTTCTCCAATGAAACTTCCAATTTAGTGTAGGCACAGTGTATAAATGAATAAAGCCACTAATCAGCCCCTAGGATCTATTAGAGGCCTGAAGAATGTTTAATTTGTTTATTGAGAATAAGAAATATATTAAATTTAAACGTGTGGTTTTAGTATAGATATATTAAAGCAATTTGAAATGATTTAAAGTATAACAATTTATTTAATCGGATGCCATAAGCCTAATATTTTCTTTGTTTAGCTTGGATTGTTTGAAATACGAATGTAATTTCGACAAATAAAAATCACTTATTCATGTATGCTTTTAAATTACCTATTCTCTTAAGGCCACCTCTTGTTGGCAGTGCATTGACTTATCCTGCCTATGATTGAGAGGATGGACTGAACTGTTAAACCAGGTAAGTTACTCACTCTAATAATCATCTTCTGTTCATATTATTATGGTCACTTACCTGTGTTTCTCCCTAAAAGTGTCAGTGATTGGGCCCCTCCTGGGGCGCTACAGGTCCGCAGTTCCTCACCTGCCCGCTTCAGTTCTGTTAATACGTTTGTTTTAATAAACGTTTTGAACTTTCCTACTGGCTGTCTCACCTTGAATACTGGGTCCTTTTGTCCTTTCTATGGTAAATTTTGTACTAAAATATTCTGTCTGTCTGATTTGTGGACATTAAAGGGGTCATAGAATGATTATATAGGGTATTTGGTGCTGGTCGTTAAGGTCTCTGAATAGGGTGTGTAACGTTGGTTGAGCTAAAAATTTTGTATCTCTGCTTTTGTCTCCTTGAACCCCAGTCAGCCTCGGCAGATGGCCACTCACACTGAGCCTGGTTCTGCTGGAGGTTTCTTCCTGTTAAAATTTAGTTTTTCCTCTCAACTGTCGCAACAAGCATGCTTAGTGTGAGGGATTGCCTTAGAGTCAATGCAATCAACTGGTTTTCTTTAGAAAACTTACAATCAATTTGACTTTATGATCGGGTGAACTGTAAAGTGCCTTGAGTTGACATGTGTTGTGAATTGCCGCTATATTAATAAACTGAATTGAATTTAATAGAATTTTAAACTAGAAATAAACCCTTTAAATTGGACTGATCTCTACTTTTTGTCTTGTATTTATAAACTTTATAAATTATGTCCGACAACTAACCTCTGTGACCATGAATAAGCCCAGCAAAGCACTAATAGCACAGAGCAGCATCAGAAGAAGCTCTCTGCGGTATCCCCTTTGGAGGTAGGAAGGATAGAGATCTGTCAAAGAGGTCATGTTGCTTTCAAGTCCTGCAAACTGAAAGCAACATTGTTGGAGGCTGGTAAAGAGACAGCAATGTCAAATTTGGAACAAATTGTAAAGTGATCATGAAATAAAGAATTATGCTTACCTGTCCATCAATTCCCAGTAAAATGATCATGAAGAAGAAACACACAGACCAGACCTGAGGCCAAGGCAGCAGAGTTACGACTTGTGGATAGACAATGAAGACGAGGCCAGGACCTGCAAAAAAACAAAAAGAAAAAAAGAGATCTCTTCAAAACCTGTTACATAAAATGCTTCTTATAAGAAATGATAAAAACAGTTTACTCAGAACATTTCCAATGTGCTGTAGTTATAATAACCTCAAAATATCTAACTGCTCTTTATTCGATCAAACTGTAATCAAAGCTGGTCTGAAGCATACCTGACTCAGCAACAGCAGAAATGTCAACTCCCTGCTTTACTGACATGTAGCCCAGAATGGAGAAAATGGCAAATCCAGACATTATGCTGGTCCCACTGTTCAGCAAGCAAAGATAGAAGGAGTCTCTGCAAATCAGACAAAAGACTGTAATTTTTCGTGTTCTGTAATCCTGGTATAATTAGTAAATATACTAGAAATATATACAATTGGGATGACCTATTAAAGTGCATAAAAATTTTGTCTTGCTCATTTTATCAAAGTAAAACTTCTTAGATAGTTTAGAAAATCTAGAATGTCAGTCATTGAGCAAAAAGTGTTCAGCCGTTTGTTACACGTCTCTGGTCAATCACATTGGTGTCAGAGTGGCAATTATTGCTTCTTAGTTTTTTTTATTTTGCATTCCTTTTAAATGAATTGTGATATATAAAATTTGGTAAATAAATATTCACAATATGCTAAACAAGGGAATTATTCAAGCACGCAATTTATTGCCTGTAGTGTTAGTTTATTTCCTCTAAATAGTGAATTAAGGTGTTGGCCAACAGTTTTTTGAAGTTAATTTTTTTCAATCAAGCACAAGGCAAATGTTGATGGATAGATGGACTGATAATGAATCATGCCTTTGTCTGAGCCTTGGTTTGGCAGGCCAGGAGAGGAACACTTGTCGGACTGTATTGGGTCAAGTGTTAAATTTGATGTTTCGTGAATTTTACTTTGGTATTGTTTTTCAGGAGATAGGCTGAGCCCTTAATTCCATGTTAGAGAAACCGAATGCTGCAGTAAACCATAACCTTTTTGGACAGTTGTATGCTCCATACTCTGACAGTTTGGATGTGCCATTAGTTTTCAACATAGCTATACTGTATATAAGAGGAAACAAGGTAGGATAAGCATGAGCTACTTTTGTGTGGAAAACCTCACTGGTCTCCCAGAGTCTTGACCTCAACCTCATAAAATATATTTGAGATATTTTCTTTTCAGCATTAGTGTCTGACCTCACAGCTGATCTGCTGTATGACTTCAGACAAATACTCTCAAAACCTTGTAACCAACCTTCAAAGAAGAGTAAGAACTTGTATTTGCAAATGATACACTAGTGCAGTATTAAACCAAGTTTTGGTAGATGTGTTACGTTAAAATATTTCACTGGGTATCGGTTGTTGTAAAGGAATATTTCCAAATATTCCTCACCTGTAACAGTTGTTGTTGTACTTGTTGTAGCTTCCAAATGTGGTCATGTACCCTAAGCAAATTGCGTAAGAATAAAATATTTGTGTTCCAGCATCCATCCAGACCTAAAAAAACAAGCAAATTTCAAAAATGTACCTCCGTCTCTACAAAAATATTCTCTGTTGATTTTGAATTAGCTATGAAAGATATTTCTTTTCCTGACATCTTGGATTACATTGATGTAAAATATATAAATCTTGATTTTATGCAGACATTCATTTGAGATAAATAAGCAATATAAAGTGAGGGTTAGGGTTAGACCTGGTAATTTTCACATGACTGCAGATATAGTAGTACCTGTGGGTCAGCAAGCCGTGAGGGATCTGGGTAAAGGTAGTATTTGATACCATGGAGTGCTCCAGGAAGGGTCATTCCTCTGAAGAATAGCGCCACCAACAAGACGAAAGGAAATGTGGCAGTAAAGTAGGTAGCCTTTGAATAAAAAGGAAAATTTTAAAAAGTTTAGACTGGTCCAATCTGTATTTACTAATTCTTAAGGGGTAACATATCTGATTTTTTAACATATCATTTTTTTCAGTAATATTCAGATAAATATCCAATAAGTTCCACCTAAACCACTTTCTTTTGTGCTTTAAGTGGGCTGGTGTGCAACAGTACACAGGATCATCACTCCTAAATTTGAGGACAGGAGAGACAGATCAACAAACAGGAGGAGCAACTGTTGTCATTGCAAGAGGAGCTGAAACAACTGAAACAAAGGGCCAAGCTCATGATCACTTTTTCTGAATAAGTTAAGTTCCTTGTGGATCAGATCCAGAGGTTTCAAAGCTCCCCAGATCAGCCTGCAACAAACCATACTCCTCCTTCTCCTAGTGCTGAACCTCCTGTGCCACCTGACTCCTCCAAGCACATGCACCGCCATCGGCAGAAAGATGTAACAGCCTCCCCGGCTGGTCAGCGAGTCAGGACGGTGCCAGTTCTCATGGTCTCAGGAGTCTTCTTCATAATCAACAGCTATCTTCACCTCGTCTCGCCTCGTCGTCTCACGCTTTATCCGGAACCGGGTCGCGGGGGCAGCAGACTAAGCAGAGACTCCCAGACTTCCCTCTAGGCGCTCCCAGGCCAGCCGAGAGACATAGTCTACCCAGCGTGTCGTCCCCTGGGCCTCCTCCCGGTGGGACATGCCTGGAACACCTCCTGTGGGGAGGCTTCCAGGGGGCATCCGAAAAAGATGTCAGAGCCACCTCAACTGACTCCTCTCGATGTGTAGGAGAACCGGCTCTACACTGAGCCTCTCCCGAATTACCAAGCTCCTCATCCTATCTCTAAGGGAGAGCCCAGCCACCCTGCGGAGAAGCTCATTTCAGCCCCTGGTATCCGGGATCTCGTTCTTTCGGTCATGATCCAGATTTCATGACCATAGGTGAGGGTAGGGACATAGGTGAGGGTAGGGACATAGACGACCGGTAAATTGAAAGCTTTGCCTTTTCGCTCAGCTCTCTCTTCACCATGACAGACCGGTGCAGCGTCCGCATTATTGCAGCAGCCGCACCGATCCGTCTATCGATCTCCCACTCCATTCTTTCCTCACTCGTGAACAGGACCCCAAGATACTTGAACTCCTCCACTTGAGGCAGGGACTCTCCTCCAACCTGAAGGGGACAAGCCACCTTTTTCCGGTCGAGAACCATGGCTTTGGACTTGGAGGAGCTGATTCTCATCCCAGCCGCTTCACACTCGGCTGTGAACCGCCCCAGCGCACGCTGTAGGACTTAGCAGGAGGGAGCCAGCAGAACTACGTCATCCGCAAAAAGCAGGGACGAAATTCGCTGGTCCCCAAATAGACCCCTCTGGTCCTTGGCTGCGCCTAGAAATCCTGTCCATAAAAGTTATGTACAGGACCGGTGACAGAGGGCAGCCCTGTCCTAGTCCAACATGCACTGGGTACAGGTCTGACTTAATGCCGGCAATGCGAACCAGACTCCTGCTCCGCTTGTACAGAGAACGGATGGTCCCTAATAAAGGGCCCCTGACTCCATACTCCTGGAGCACCCCCCACAGAGTGGCACAAGGGACACGATTGAATGCCTTCTCCAAGCCCACAAAACACATGTGGACTGGTTGGGCAAACTCCCATGAACCCTCAAGCACCCTGCAGAGGGTGTAGAGCTGATCCACTGTTCCACGGCCAGGACGAAAACCACACTGCTCCTCCTGCAGCCGAGGTTTGACAATCTCCCCTCTCCAGCACCCTGGCATAGGCCTTTCCGGGGAGGCTGAGAAGTGTGATTCCCCGATAGTTGGAACACACCCTCTGGTCCCCCTTCTTGTGGAGGGGAACCACCACTCCAGTCTGCCAATCCAGGGGGAATGTCCCCGACCTCCATGCGATGTTGAAGAGACGTGTCAACCATGACAGCCCAACAACATCCAGAGCTCTAAGATACTCAGGACGGATCTCGTGCACCCCCGAAGCCTTGCCACCGTGGAGTTTTTTGACCACCTTGGTGACTTCAGCCTGGGTGATGAACGAATCCAGCCCCAAGCACCCCGTCTGTTCTTCCCCCACGGAAGGCATGTCTGAGGAGATCCTCAAAGTATTTCTTCCACCGCCCGACAATATCCCCCTTCAAGGTCAGCAGCTCCCCACTCCTACTGAAAACAATGTTAGTGAAGCACTGCTTTCCCCTCCGGAGGCGCCGGACAGTTTGCCAGAATCGCTTTGAGGCCAACCGATAGTCTTTTTCCATGGCCTCTCCAAACTCCTCCCAGGCCCGAGATTTTGCCTCTCCTACTGCCCGAGCCACGACACGCTTGGCCTCACGGTACCTGCTTGCTGCTTCAGGAGTCCCACAAGCCAGCCAAGCTCGATAGGACTCCTTCTTCAGCTTGACAGCGTCCCTTACTATCGGTGTCCACCACCGGGTTCGGGGATTGCCACCACGACAGGCACCACAAACCTTACGGCCACAGCTACGGGCAGCTGAATTGACAATAAAGGCAGAGAACACAGCCCATTCAGACTCCATGTCTCCAACCTCCCTCGGGACCTGAGAGAAGCTCTCCCGTAGGTGGGAGTTGAATACGTCCCTGACCGAGGGTTCCACCAGACGTTCCCAGCAGACCCTCACTACTCATTTGGGCCTGCCGAGTCTTTCAGGCTTCCTCCTCTTCCAGCGTATCAAACTTACCACCAGGTGGTGGTCGGTGGACAGCTCCGCCCCTCTCTTCACCCGAGTGTCCATGACATGCGGCCGAAGATCAGAAGATACGGCTACAAAGATGATCATCAACCTTCGGCCTAGGGTTTCCTGGTGCCAAGTGCACCGATGGACATCCTTATGCCTTAACATGGTGTTCATTATGGACAATCCATGACTTGCAAAGAAGTCCAATAATGAGACACCACTCGGGTTCAGAGCTGGGGGCCTGTTCCTCCCGATCACGACCCTCCAGGTGTCACTGTCGTTTCCCATGTGGGCGTTGAAGTCTCCCAGTAGAATAAAGAAGTAGAGAACCCTCTCGTCTACTGGGGTGAACTCCAACACGAGACGGCTGAGCTGGGGGGAGACAAGCAGCCCCACCCCAGCCCTCCGCCTCTCCCCGCGGGTCACTCCAGGGTAGAAGAGAGTCCAGCCTCTCTCAAGGAGCTGGGTTCCAGAGCCCTGGCTGCACGTAGATGTGAGCCCAACTAGCCAGTATCGCTCCACCTCCCGCACAAGCTTGGGCTCCTTCCCCGCCAGTGAGCTGACATTCCACGTCCCCAGAGCCAGTTTAAGCACCCGCAGATCAGGTCACCGAGGTCTCCGCCTCTGGCTGCTGCCCAATCCACTTTGCACCGGTTCCTCATGGTTCCCCCTGCAGGTGGGGTGCCCACTGGGGGATGGCCTCGCGTCGCTCCTTCGGGCTGGGCCCAGCCGGATCCCGCGAGGAAGAACCCGATCACCAGGCGCTCGCCGACGAACCCCAGCCCCAGGCCTGGCTCCAGGGTGGGGTCCCGGCTCCGCCGTACCGGGCGACGTCACTTGCCTTGCTGTATTTCTCGTAATAAGTGTTTTTGAACCGCTCTTCGTCTGACCTGTCACCCAGAGCCTGTTTGCCTTGGGAGACCCTACCAGAGGCATTTAGCCCCCGACAACATAGCCTCTGGGATCACCCAGGCACTGAAAACCCCTCCACCACGTTAAGGTGGTGGTTCAAGGAGGGGCTATTTTCACAAGTAAGAAAATTAAAGCTAGCTCCCAAGACCACTTTCCAGCTGCCAAAGCTCCTCATCTTGAGGATTCTCAAGAGACTTTTTTTACGGAGAAAGAGAGGATTTGTTTTATTTCATGCCTCACCACATAGTTTTCCAGTTTCCCTTAGCTCCCTGTCAGGCAGCTGATTCTGAGTGGGCGCTTCTCACCTCCCAGCCCCTCAGGAGGCACTCCTCGCCTCGAGGCGACTCAACGGGCGTTCCTCACCTCTTTGTGGGTTCCAAGCTGTGCTGCTTCTTCATGGGCCCCAAGCTGTGCTGCCTCCCCGTAGGCTTCTGATGGCGGCCTCCAAGGGTCGCGTGCCACAGTCGGTTGCCTCCAAGGCTCGTGTGCCGCAGGGAGCGGCCTCCAAGGTTCCTGATGCAGAGACGTTGTCCCCCAGAGGTCCTTCTCCGTCGCTGTCCTCACGGCCAGCCTCCAGAGACTTTGCTTCTCCTCTGGCCTCATGGCCGGCATTCAGAGAATGTGCTTTGACCTCATCCATCTTTGATAGGTTGTTTTTTGTTTTGGACTCTGTTTTTGGTTTTTGTTTCTTGTCCTCCTTCCTTGTCCCCCATCCGCCCAACTCTGGGTGGGTTGTTTTGTTTTTAGGACTTGTTAGGGCGTCTGGGATCCACCCTTAGGTGGCGGGTGCTGTCATGGTTTTTGTTCTTTTCCAGTTTTCTCTTTGAGTTTTCATTGTTTTATTTCCATTTTGTGGTATTGTAGTTGTTTATGATTGCATTTGTGTTCTTAGGTATTTCTTGTTTGCCCTCTATGTATTGTTCTCAAATTGTTCTCAAATGGTAATGATCATGTCATTTCCATTATTGTTTTTTTTGTCAATGTTCACTTCATTTCTCTAACTGATTTCTGTGCTAAATTCATCTGAATGTCTTCCTTCCATTGTTCATGTAATTTCATCATTAAACCATGCCACCATATTATTCTGCCTCCACGGTCTTGTCTGTGTGTTTACCCACCTTACAGCTCTCTAAAAATATTTTTTGGGATTTACTTAAGATTCAGGAAAAGGAATCATTTGGCCCTCAGATTAATCATGAAAAGTGGTGAAACTGAAAATAGCACTCAAATATTCTAAAACTGTGGCAATTACCGTGTTATGTAGATCAAAGGAACATATTTGGATTAAAGGCCATAACACACAATGCATAATTTTAATTCCAGTCTTACCTTTCCTGTGGACCTCACTCCTTTCCACACACAGAAGTAGCAGATTACCCACGAAAGAAGAAGGCACAATGCAAGTTCCCACTGGATACTTCCTAAAGTCTCTATGCCCGTGGATATTTTTAATACCCGTCGCCTGTGAATAGATGTTGTGTCAGTACTTGGAAAATGTTTTTCAACTCAATTTAAGTAAAACAACTTAATCTAGAAGGAAAATGTTGTTGTAACCAAAGGGTTACAAATGCATGGACTAGTTTCTTAGCACCACCCATGGATAAGATATTTCTAATTATTGCAATATTCCAGAGACGAAAAAAGGACATTCTAGAAATCTCTTTGATATGGGATTTAAATGACAAATCCTGGCAAAAAATAACACCAAGATTTTTTTACTTTGTTATCTGAGATTATTTCAATCCCAACCAAATAAAGTGACTGACTAATCTGTTTCTTTTTCAAAGACTCTGGTCCAAAGACAATAACTTCTTTTGTCAGAATTCAGAAGCAGAAAGTTGAGTCATCTATGTTATATAATTGGCCCTACCACAGATCCCTGTGGTCAGGGGCACCACCAGGAAATTGGGGCCCCATGAAAGACATTGATATTGCCCCCCCATGAAAAAAAAAAATATGCAAGCTGTATATATATACCGTAAATCCTCTAATATAGGCCCGGGCCTTTATTTCACTCAAGTGCATCGCGGTCCAGGCCTTTATTGGAAGGGGGCCAGAATTAGAGACAGGCCTCTATTGCTATTTGAGCAAAACAGACTACCAGTGGAATGAATAAAAATGAGATTTTATGTCTATTTGAACCTATAAAGCACTAGGTTCATTTATTGAAAAAGTACAGTTACCATGTCTCGCTTGGTTTGAAGTAAAAAAGAAAAGAAAAAATCCTCCATTTCTGTTTAATCCTCCTCCTCAGTTTCCTCCTCCTCTTAATCTCTCCCTTTAATCTCCTCATCACTCGCGCTCCTCCTCATGTTCTGCTGCGTGTCTGTTCTCTTCCTCGCGCAGACGGGCAGCAGTCAGGGCCTGTCGTCCAGCTGCGCAGGGCTGTGGTACTTGTATGTTACTACCACAAGTATAATGTTGAGGTATGCCCAGAAAAAACGTTTATAGCCCCGGCCTGTATTAGAGACCGGCCATTATTTACCTCCTCTGACAGTGAGACCGGCCAATGTTAGAGTCCCGGCCGGTAATGGAATACAGGCCAATATTAGAGAATTTACGGTATATATATATATTGTAAGATATTTAAAAAATGTAATATATATGCATGTAATGAGAATTTAAAAAATATATTTTTGATGTAGCTGTTTCAGGCTGCTCATGAGAATGATTTATATATTGTTGGGAGCTGGAGAAGTACCACCTTCCTCCAGCAGAGTCCGCCATGGATCCTCTTGAGCCGAGCCTCCTGCACAGCTGAAGCTCATCCCGTCATCAGAGGATCCACAGTATTTAAGCTGTCTTCAGACCTTGCCTCAACGCCGCAGTGTTTAATCCAGTTGGTTAGCACCTAAGCCTTGTATCTCTGAGAACCTTCGTTGACTTTTGAATCCAGACTGGATTCTAACCTTTGTCTCTGTTTTGCAGGAAACCTGTTTTTCTCCAGTGAAGCTCTGGAAGAGCTTAACCTGCCAAACCTGCCCTCTGAGCCAAACCTGAAGTCTCTCTCTGGATTTCCATGCAGCTCTGGACCAAGAGCTGGAAACTCAAAGCCAAGGTCGGCTCTCTCTCAAGAAGTAAGACGCTGAAGCAGTTAACGGACTCTGCTGAACAAACTATCTCCGGACCCAACAGTTTCCCTCTCAAGGCTTTAACCAAGAACCCTCAAGGTACAAATCTAAAACTGCCTGAATCTAACTCTTCTGAGCAAACGCTAACTGAACTGTCTCCCACGCAGACTCCAGTGAACCAGTTCCCCAGGCCTGAACCAGAACCAGTGATTAACTCAGTGCTTGTGACAATAAACATTGTTAAACCTTTACTTCTGTTTCCGTCTCCGTGGTGTTCTGCATAACTGGGTCTCACTAGTGAACCCATCATGACATATATAGATTTATATATACCTTTTAGTGGCTATAATTCAATCTAGATATAAAATCTAACTGAAGTATTTTAAGATTGACAGTGATTTTAATACAGGCTGCTAGCAGCTACCTAATGTTCTCCTTCAACTGTCCAGGATCCAGTACAAACAACTGCAAGGCCATTTAATGTTATAGTGATCATTATGTTGAAAAAAGAGTGTTTAAATTTTTTATATATAGAAAGTTTAATTTTAAGTTTTTTTAATAAGTGTTAAAGTGAGAGAAGGTTTCATTTGTCCAACATTTGTAATGATGCTAACTGGCCTGTCCCTGAACACAATGTGGATCACCTTGTGTACTGGGTCAAACTCAAAAAAAATCTTTATACCTCTGCTTTGTTTTTCTGTTTAATGCTGAAAGATCAGGGAGAACAAAAGGACAAATTATTTTACAGCAGGATTTTCTTTTTATATTTGAAATTCTAGTGGGACATATCTTTTCTTTTTCTTTTGGGGCCAGCTTCAGTCAAGGGCCCATGGAATATTCCTAATTTTTCACCCCAATATGGCGTTCTTGCTTGTGGTACTCCAGAGGTAACTAAAGAAGATTTCTTAAAATTAATGTGAACAAACTCAAATCTGTTAGATAAATTAGATTTAAACCAGCCTAGTGTTGATACCTTTTCCTAAAAAATATTCAAGTCTTTTGAAAAGAATATTATAATTAACTGTATCAAAAGCAGCACTGAGATCTAACAGGACAAATATAGATACAGTACAAGTCTATTATATGAGGTCATAAGAATATCATTAGTGATTTAAACCAGAGCTGTTTTAGTGTTATGATGAGCTCTTAACCCAGATTGAAACTCTTCAAAGTTCATTATGATCTAAGTGGTCACACAATTGTTTGGCAACTACTTTCTGAAGAGTTTTAGATAAGAAAGAGAAATTGGATATAGGTCTATGATTGACCAAGTCATGTGGGTCTTGCTAACTCTGAAAAATTCAAGAGGTTGAAAACAGTTTTAATCAGGGTTAGATTCTATATAGTTACCTCAGATGCTGCCTCACCTTCCAGTGATAAGCCAATCATATTTAGTAGTACTAATGATAGCATTTTTAATATAATCTAACTTATTTATAAAGAATTCCATATAATCATTACTGCCAAGAGCAGGGGGAATGGACGGTTCAACAGAGCTATGGCTCTGTGTGAGTTTGGCAACTGTATTGAAAAAAATCTCCCTCTCTTACTTTACAAAGGTTCATTTTATACAGCAGTAAACTGTTTTTCCAGATCTTTATCTTTATCTTTCTTCTATTATATATTAATATTCATATTTACTCACTATAAAAGTTTTCACTCAGTCTGTTTCTCTCTCAAGGCCACACCACTCCCTGCAGAATGTTGTTTGTAGACCAGACATTGCTTCTTCCCATAACAATCCAGATTCTTTCTCAAGGTTTATTCATAACATGTTACTGTTAACCAAAGTGTGTGTAATTTGTTATGACTTTTTGTTATGACTTTCCATTGTTGTAAGTAGGGGGGACGAACCCTGCCCAGATCAGAACAGAGCAGGATGCTGTGCCATGAGGGCTGTATGATGAACTGTTCTCTCTTTTCAAAGATCTGAATAAATGTGCCGACTGAGTGAAATCCATCGATCTCTGTTTATTTAACACGGATGAATAGTTGAATACTTTTTTCCCACAACAATTTTGCGTTGTCAAAGCAGGATTCTCTTTGACTGATTTTTTCTGAGGACAGCGATTGTCAGAAGTGTCAGGTACCGCCTGGAGGAAGCAGTCTTCCAGCCTCAATACCCCGGTTAGAAGGTTAAGGGAGTGAGGACTTCTGGCATCGAGGTCCCTAGAGGTCAGCAGGAGGATCAAAACAAACAATTTTTTGAGACGGTGAGATTAATCTTTTGTCGGCACAGTTTAAATTAAATTTCAAAAACTAAATTACACAACAACAGATTGTTAACAGATTTAAAGATTACTAGAAATCAAATACTGGAAAATTAGCTCAAACAAAGTCCTCTTCTTCTCCATTAAAATTATAATCTAGCAAGAAACTAACTAAATTAAAGATTAATAGGTTAATAATTTTAATGCACTAAAATTAGTATAATACTAAAGATTATACATATAAAATAACAGATAATTTTTGTTTTGGGGAGCAGAAAGGCAATTCAGGTTTTTTCCACCTGTGAACCAAAAGACCTCGCATAGGAAATTGAGGCTCTCTCTAAGGGTGAGAGGAAGGTTGTAGGTGCCACCAGAAGGCATTTAATTTTACTGAGACGTCGGTAATCTAGAGTGGGATCCCCCCCAGTTTCCAGGTCGGCACCAGAGGAATGGTGCATATTGGAAACCGGTAAATTACCTGTAGAGAATGGGAAAGGTTTTGCAACAAAAGGCAAGGTTCCAGAGAATTGTCAACTCCTCAAGAAGAAATTTTTAATTTAATGTTGCGATAGAAAAAATGTTGAAGATAAGATAAACGAATATCATGAGAAGTTAGAGGCTAAAAAGAAGGTAAGGTAAGAAATTTACAGATTTTGGGGGAAAAAAAGACAAAAAAAATGGAAAAAGAAAAAAGAGAAGAAAACTGTTTAAAATGATGGATGGTTAAAAGGAGAGTTCAAAGAAACTCTCAGCTTCAAAAAGAAATGGGTTAAAATAAGAAGTCAAAAAAGGCAGTGTTTAAACCTGATACTAAACATATTTACACTGTATTACATATAGGGCTGCAACAACGAATCGATAAAATCGATAAAAATCGACTTTTAAAAGCGTTGGCAACGAATTTAATCATCGATTAGTTGTGTCGCACGATTAATGCGTCATCCGCCGCCGCCGTCATCCGGTGGAAGAAAAAAAAACATGGCAGAGCGAGTAGCGCTTGCAGTTGCAGTGTTGCCAACTCAGCGACTTTTCAGACCTCTCCAGCGACTATTTTTCAAAAAAGCGACTAGCGACAAGTCTGGCGACTTTTTACGGTGTCACTGGCGGATTTTGCCTGCCGTGGGGCGCCTCCATCATCCCAACTCCTTTCTCCCTCTCCCACAGGAATCCCTCTCAGCGCT